AACTCTCAAAACTTTTTCAAAGCCAAATTGGACCTGACTACCATTTTTCATTAAATACCAACTTCTCAGCCAATATTCCTCTAGTAAGTAAATCTTCTGGATTATCGTCAGACAGACAATAATACCAATCACTTGGACTCAATCTTTCCTGAATTTCCACAACCCAGTTGCAACGAACTGTTTCCATCTCTTCGCAGTTCCCTTCACCAATGCAACCCAATTTTATCCTTGAAAACACTCTTAAGGTAATTTCCCATTCTATTACCTATAACATGGCTATTAGCTCCAACTGTGGCAGCAGTAATTTCTTTAACGGTGACACTCTACTCTTCGACATTATAAAAGATACTCTGCAATTCCCATTATTCTCACAATATCTAAAATAAACAACAGTTCCGTAAGCACTTGGTGAAGCATTGCAAAACACATGTACTTCGGATTGCTCATTCTCACAATCCAGAAAACAATATCTCAGAATAGTAACGCCTTTTAATTTTCCAGTTTCATTACACCACGCTATCCACTTTTGCTGCAAGTCCTCCGGTAAATCTTCGTCCCAATCACATGCTCTCTCCCAAATTTCCTATAACAATATACGTATCACAAACGGCATAATCAAACCAATAGGATCAAAGATTCTTGCAGCTGTCTGTAAAACACATCTTTTAGTGCATCGCAACGTTTTCCACGAATCCACCAAACCCTTCACCTCCAGCAACAACTCATCTCTATCAGGATTCCAATTCAACCCTACGACTTTCAGCTGTTGAACTCCCACTATCTCACTGTCACTAAGTCCATTTTCTATCCACAAATTTGCTAATTCTCTACTGTTCAATCTCAGTTTCCTCAAATTAAATCCACCACTCTTTAATATTGATGCAGCATCCGACGACAACTCAAATGATTCTCTCCCACTGTCTCCACCATAATATAAATCGTCTATGTAATGAATTAACATTTCAAATAACTTTGGTTTACTTTTCTCATATCTTTTTATATGATGCTTTGCCGTAGCACTCAAAATGAAAGGGGAACTTTTACAACCGAAGGGTAGTCTTTTCATTCTCATAATTTTATATTCTTCACTAGGGTTATCTGAATACCAAAGAAATTTTAAGAATTTTCCACCTCTTTCAGAAATTTTTATCATTAAGAAAGCCTTCTCTATATCAACATTAAACGCTATTTTGTAATTACGAAATTTTAGAATCACATCAAGAATATATGGATTTAAATTTCCAAACAATCGTTTAAAGAAAGCTTACCTTTAAATTTTGAACTATAGTTAAAGACTATACGAACTTTGGTTGTTTCTTTATCTTCCCTAACAACTGCTCTATGAGGCATAAAATACTCATGCTCATCTCTCTCACATTCCTCAATAACTCTATTTTGTTTTTGGTCATTTATTATTTTCCTATACTCGTTAGCAACCCAATCATTTTTAGAAAAATCCTTTCCTAACTCATAAAACTTCTTTTTAGGTAAAACATAATTATTTCCTAATTCATCGTAACTAAACTTCCATAATAAATCAGTTTCATATCTCTCATTTATGAATTTAAAATTTTTCTCAAATTCATCTATCAACGCTTTACATTTAACTCTTCTTTTTCTTTAATTCCTAAAGCATCAAGTTCCCACAATATCTGAAGTGGCTATGCAAAAATTCGCTGAAACTGCATTCTTAACATTGGGCTTGTAAACATCTTGACTTTCCTGTAAAGCAAACCCGAAAATCGTTTGCACGCAAGTAATTTCCTGGTTTAATTTTTCGAAAGCTGAGGCTTTAATAATCTGCCAAAACACATCTGCCCCAATTAATATCTCAATGTTTATATCACTGTCACAGCAGTCGGCTAAGATTAATCCGTGGGACTGCATAATATTTTGTACTACTTCATTTGGAACAGAAACAGATGCCGCTGTAATAGTATCCACCACTAGCACTTCAATTTGAATACACTGATTAGGGCTGTATCTGCTATATAATTTTAATTCTACTACTTCGTATAACTTCTCAATAGGCTTTGCTGAGCCAAAGGAAAAAACCGATAACCTTTCCTATCGAATTGATTTTAATTTTAAGCAATTGGTAAGGGATTTCATACACCAGCTTCTTTCGGAGCCATTATCGCATAAAATTCGCATCATTTTATTTTATCAATAGAGCTAACGTATACACTGCAAGTGAGTAACAGCACAGATGATTTATGTGTTCAGCTTGACCTTGACACTGAAGAATTGAGTTTGATGCCACCATTCCCTACTTTGGAAAGAGGTTTATTTTGTTTATAAAAATGAATCATAGAATGATGAGCTTTCCCACAGAAACAATTTATGGCTCTACACTTTTTCGCATTACACTTCGAAGAAAAACATTTGAAACAAAGGTTATTTTGCTTAATAATTTCAACACGCTCATTTACTGAAAGCCTTTTAAAATTAGGACAATTTTGTATCAAGTGCTTTGGATTAGTTTTACACAAAATACATGTATGATCTTTTGCTCCAGATACATCAGAAATATTTTTGTAATTATAATTACGAAGTTTATTAACATTATTTCCGTCGCCTCTTTTATTATCGTTACCTGTAAATGATCTTGCAAAAAGGGATTCTGGTTTTTGTTTACCTTTTGATGACAAATAAATATCGCATTCATGACCTAAAGTTTGGGGTTCGAACCATGTCTCTCCCTGTTTAACTGCTATATGGGTCTTTAATTCACGATCAAGTTCACTGAATATTTTATCCGAAACCATAAGATCACATAACGATTTAAAATCTTTTACATTTTTCAACTGACAATATTCAAAATTTGCACTTAACCTTGATGCAAACTGTACAAAGTTCTCAGATGACAATTTTTGCGTAGAACGAAAATGATTTAAGCACTCATAAAGGGCTGGTTGAAATTCCTTTAAAATCATGAACTCTAGTTTATTGCAATTATTAATATCTTCTTCCTTCACATATACCATTAAATTAGTGACTTTCTCTCCCAAAATATTTAATAGGATTTCTGCTTTTACATCTTCAGGTACTTGTTTTGTTCTAAAAGCCCTTTCAATTGATTGGAAAAAGAGATTAAAAGATTCTGCTTTAGTAGGTACAGAAATCGTTAATGTTTTTACACTTTTAATTAAATTTTCCATATTTCGATTTGAGGTGTCCAGCTCAACATTTGGATTTTGTTGCAAGTCTTTCCTAGTGTTAGTTAAAGCTAATTCCGCCTCTAACTGAGAAAGTTTTATTTTCTCTAACTCCAATCTAATTTCGTTTTCCAATTTGCATTTTCTCTAACTTTAATCTAATTTCCTTTTCCTAGAATATTATCAATAACATTTTGCACAAATTCAGCATCATTTGCATAAACTTCTGAACTTTCTATTATAATTTTCAAAGTAACAATTTTCGCCGCGCTCGGAATTACTAATCCCAGCTCCTCCGCCACAAGCGTAAAAAAATCGTCTTTTTTTTTAATGACTTCAGCGACTTCAGACTCATCTTAATTCAAAGAAAATACAACAACCCTGAATTGACAACTAGAACACAATGAGCACAAAAAAAAAAAAAAAAAAAAAAAAAGTCAAACTCAACACAGACACTATCAATTCAAGTTACCAAGTAGGAACACTTCAATACACAACACTAATATACAGAATTTAACACTAAACATCATTTCAACAAACCGAAATAACCACTCACCATAATCTACACAATGGAACCATCACCTCACCTTCACTTTTGGTTTTCGCACAACACATATTCCAATATCACCACACTATTTTTTCACACAAAATTTGATGATGCACATTATTACCACCACATTATCTCCTAACTCCACTTCCTGACACCAAAAAAAAATGTTCACCTCTTTTGTGAAGAGGAGCGGAAATTGACTCCACACTCATTAAAAAATCAACGCCGCTATTAAGGACAAGACATTTATTCCTACTCACTATACATATACTTTGATACAGAAAAACTAGCAAGATTAAACAGCGCCCTCTTACGGCGGGTAATGGATGGCATAACAATATCTTATCCATATGAAATTCTTTGACTTTTCCAGATTCTGGCTAAAATAAGTTCACGGCTTTTCCTGGTTTTTCAGGTAATTTAGCAACACTGTGTTACTAGTGGCACTTGTGCACATACTTTTAACATTAAAAATAAAATTTCAAAAAACCTTGTCAAGGGAAAAATTAGTATGATTCTAAATTTAATTCCTATTAACGCAATTTTTTGAGTATCCCATATGGTAATGATTCCAATTACTTTGTATAATCAAGGTTTTTCTGTTACCACTATTCTGGAAAATGTAAACTTGGCATATTGTCAGTTTAAAAAAAAAAATGTTAGATTCTTAACAGTGTTTTAAATTCTTACCAGCAGGAAAAATTAGATCTGAAGAAAATCCACTGCTTTTCCAAGAAACACCATTTAAATGCACAGCTTCAGAATCATTAGAATCTAAAAATATCATAACTTTATGACTATTTTATAATACAATTCATTTTAAAATTGTAGGAATTATCTTTCTAACAGCAGGTTCCAGTTTACATGCAGCAACATGTAAAGCATACTTTGAAACCTATTGTTTATCGATGTGGGGGGGGGGGTTGGAAATCTAAGCTTAATTTTATATTACATGCCAATGAATGTATATATATATTTGGTATTATACATTAATCCTTTGTAGATAAGGAAGACGTTCTGTTTAATGTAAAAATATGAATGGTCACCCACACATTCGCAAATAGTTGAAGAATACTCAAAATTTATTAGACAACTAATATTAACATGAAATTTTGTTCGAATTCCTCTTTTTCAAGTTACAGAGCTATATTTAGTAAATGAATATATATTCAAGTGTACTGCAAACTTATTCTAATTTTTGAATACTCAATATGATTTCGACTATGGTCATACTCACATCTGAAAAATTCATGTTATAAAAATTAAAATACAAAAAGTTATATGGAACTATATTTTGATAACTCTCATAAAAACAGTAGTTCATTTATTTACTTGAATAATATACTGTACAAATTACAACAGACATAACACAAAATAGAACTAAACATTTGTGCAGAATATGATTTCAAGAAGAATCTGAACTATCCGACTGAGATTCAGGCTCTGTAGGAAATGGCCGTTTTGCTTCCAGTTTGGCCTTGATATTTTGCAATCTCTGCAGAATGGAGGCATAATCAAAGAAACCCCGTTTCTCTCCAAATGGATCCTTTGGAAGAAACAAATCTGAAATTACTTGAAAAATATTAAAAGGGATATAATACAAGAGAAAATTATGTATATACATCAAGCAAAATATGAAATTTCAAAGCATATATTCTTTATCCATTTTTATTTATTTATAAACATTTAATGTATAGTTTTATGCTGTATCTTTTTCATACTCAGTTCCAGATACATCAAATTTTGATTTTTTTTCATTTAAATTAAACAGAAAATATTAAACTTTTTATGGCTAAAACAGATTTCATGTAAAAGCATTTATTAATTCTTATTTAGATTTTTTTAACTTGCATAAAAAGTCACTGCTGACTAATAGTTTGATATGGTTTTGAATTTTGGCAAACCCATGGGAGCTTTTTTCCATTTTAATGTGAATATGAGTCAGTTTCCTGTCCTGCAAGAATGCATCCTGCTCCTTAAGCATATAAATTTAGTGCATCTGCTCTAATTCATCCAACCCAATCTGGTTTAACGAGTTTGATCAAAGATTTTTGATTGTTTGAAAATCAGACAATGAGAATTTATGAATAAGCAACATTCATTAAGAAATGTTTTTTATAAAATCATGCACATTTATAATTACAAGCACTATTAAAAGATTTCAAGATAAAATAATAGTTGATTTTTCCATACATTTTCTAAATACCAAATCCTTACCGTAATAAATGAACATGATGGAAAAAAATGCTTAATTAGGATATATAAAAGTATCTATACCTTTATTGCAGTATTGTAACATAAAAATATAATTTTTTAAACCATTACTTATAGAATACATGGTTTTTACATACTTATGTGTTAAATATTTAACGTGAATATAATTTTTTTTTAAATTCAAACTATTTTCAAATGATTAATGAAAATTTTCATAACCTTCTATATTTACATTTCTTAATTCTGTTGGTTAAAATATTTAGCCAATTATTTTAAATTTATTTAAAAATGGACAACTGGTTTTACTATCAGAAGTTTATAAAGAGGTTAAATTACAGTTAAAATAAAAAACACACATATCTCTCATTCTCAAATATTAAAAAATTACTTCATTTATTTAAAGGTAATAAGTATTTATTAAGCTGACTTTTCCATAAACCTTAACTCAATCTTTTTTTCGTACAAAAGAGTGCGGTGAAAAAATAATTGGCTGGTAATCTATGTATAATATAATTACTAAAATATGTTGAAAACATAAGAGAAAAACCACTCACTAGCATGTGCTGTTTAGTCAAATGTAGGTTAGCCTTGGCACAAGACTCATAATAATCATAAAACTCAGGAAAGGATTTCTCCATGACATCTCTAAACATAATAACAGTAAAAATAATCACAACAAATAAAATATAAATTCAAACAAAATACAAATAAAATATGCCATAGTTAAAAATGTTATTTCCTTACCGCAGTGGCTGAGGACAATTTCGGGAATCTCCAGTATTCCCCTCGAGCATATCACAGACAGCCACTCGCAATGTCTCGTGCTTTATTATTTGGTTATAACGAGCACTGTCACCAGGATTTCTTTCCTAAGATAAACACTGAAGTTTAGAGAATCACACAAAAATATTGTTCAACATAATACATTGCATTTTATATAAATAAACACACTTCATGTTATAGACTTAAAATAAGATACCGAGTATCAGCCCAGTAGCCAATACACCAACGGTCTCAAACTGCATGTGAGTCGAATACATGATCTGAAAACTGCTAGCAAGCAAAATTAGTTTTTTAAGCAAAATGAAAACCTTTTATTAACAAAACACCAATAAAAATTTTGTTAAATTTTAAATTTCCATTTCTAAATATTAAATTGAAACATACAAAAACAATATTAATAAAGAGAAAAAAAGATCAGATTTATATTTATTTGTAATATGTCAACATATTACATTTTCAGACTGACATTTTTTTCCCAAATCATTCCAACTTGTTTAATTGATCATTAAACAACTTATTTTAAATTAAAAATAAGCAAATTATGAACAAAATTGTACATTTTCAGAGAAAACATGACAATAAATAATACAAATTTATAATTTTCTCTATTTATTAAATTTTTCTTTGATGCACAAATTAAAATATATATGATTATATATAAATAATTATAAATTTTGTACAAAATGAACAGAAAATTTGTTTGTTTAATGTCCATGCACTGGAGAAAAGTTACCCAAAATTTTCTTCACCTCAGATTTTAGATGCTCAGTGGTCAAATGAGTTCTTTTCTTATCAGTTTTTAACTTTGATGAAAAGGTGCTCTTAAATAAATCACAAACAAAGCCCTCGCAAATAAATATATTCCCAAACAAAAAATTCTTAATGCAAAAATTGTACATATTTTTTGACAAGTACGAATAAAAACCAATCTATTCTGTATCTTCATATCTTTAAATAAGATTTATAACACACTCTAAATTAATTGGCTCAATTTATAAATTTTTAGGAGAGTTATTTATGTTAGCAACTAACAGTAGTGAAAAACGGACTTATAAATATTGAAAATCTCGAAATATTTGCAACAAATATAGAATTGAAAAGCATTCGAAGGCTGCATGAAATTGCTTCATATGACACATGTTTAAAACTCTAACCCTAACCCCAGGGCATTTCCTTATTGGGAGACCCATCACTTCCATCGCAGAACATCCACTTACAGGTATCAATGAAATTAAGTACTTTTAAGGACCATTAATGAAAAAAAATTAAGGACCTATAAGAAAATGGGAACTGAATAAATTCAATTAAAAATATTATTCTATGCCTGAATTTCACTTTTGTAATACCACCCTAAAAATAAAATAGATCCTTAAGTAGTATGCATTATTACTAAACATGAATTAACTAACATAATTATTAATAAGTTTGAGAATAAAATAAACTTCATGCAGTTTATCAAGTAGCATTAAATATTTTACACTTATAACAGTTGGACATATTTAAAAGAAGATAAAAGACATTTACGTTTTTACTAATAGTTAGCTTTATGCTTTTTTTTTTTTTTTTTTTTTTTTTAATGTCTTATTTTGTCACATACTTGGTCAGTCTAGAGGTTTAGCAAATAGTAGGGAGATTTTATGTCAAATGGCATAGGTTAAAATGAGAAGTGAGATCATAATCAGCATGATTCATAACAAAAGACTGAATGCTGTCCCTCTGCTGCTTGTCTATAGAGAGACCTGCTGATTGGAACAAACCTGAAAGGCCTGATGTAGGCATGGTTGGCAAGTGTTGAAAGTTAGTCAAGCTCTGCTTAATGCTGTTAATGTCATAGCTTTGTGTAGAGTTCCAGGGGTTGTAACCCAGTTAATATACTTTAAGGTTCCAATAAACCATTAAAGCGCCAGAGGTGATAACTTATAAGTCTCAGTAGATGCAAAGAATAAGTATTACTTGATGGTTACTTGATGGGTGTGTTGGATGATGTAATCTGTGACAATTACATAGAAAAAAATGCTTACTATGAAAAAATTAAAAAGAAGACATTTTAATTAATTACATAGATAATTTTGCTTTTACTAAGAGCTGTTTTGTAAATTATGCTTTATAGCTATATACCTTGTTTATTTTTCAGATTTAAAATATTGTATAATAAGTTGCCAAAATGAAACTTTATAATATGTCAGCGAAAAATAAAAATGTTTTATTTTAATGTTATTTTTTAAAGATAATTCTAACATTTTACAATTATTTTAATGAAATTCATCAATGTTGATGTTTTAAAAAAAATTGCCGAAAAATTCTCAGATCTCGGAATTAAAAAATTTCTATAGAAACTGGTCTTAAAATCGCCAAAATGTTTACAAGTTGTCAAATTTAGAACCATTTAATAAAAGAATTCACAACCCCAAAAGCGAAAAGTTGTTTAAGAGCTCTTTATTAGAAAAAATGAATTTCAAAATGCTTATGTTTCACTTCTTGCTTAGAAACTCGAGTATCCCATATTAGAAATAGAAACAAATTATAACCCATGAACCCATTCAAAAGATAACCATATATGTCAGTGAATTGACAAAAATATTCCTCCAAAATGCTAATTCACATTCAAAATGGCAGTCGTAAAAACAGAGAGAAATTTCAGATGAATAAAATTAAGGACCTTTTACTGATTTTGGCCAAAATTAAGGACTAAAAATCGATTTAAAAAAATTTAAGGACTTTTAAGGACCATACAAACCCTGTTATTTTTTTTTTGGGGGGGGATTATTAAGGGTGCAGATATGGAAATGGTGGTAAAAGAAATTTGCAACAATTTTTCACATTGCAGGCAGATGCTGCAATATTTTTAACTAAAAAAAAAAAAATCACATTTTGGGTCTAAAAACTATTTGGACTTGGAAGAAAAAAGAATGAACTAAAAATGACTTGTTAAATTTGATGCTAAAGTGCTTGTTAAATTTGATGAAGTGTTATGTTCATAGCTGCCAGAGTAGGTGTATTCTGAAATTTTGGTTATTTCACCTATGGTGGTTGCACTAATATAAGTGTCTCATTTTTTCAACCTTTTTGCCATGGAAGTATTTGAGACAATGTTTATTGGTCTCCTGCAAATCAGTACAATTATGCACATGCAAATTTACCTTCCCTGATTTGCAACATTTTGGATCCTGTTCCACTGCTGTGAACAAAGCTAATAAATAACTTTAATGCCTTATGACTATGACAACTTTCACAGCCAAACCATAGCATGATGCTCTCTTAGACAATCTTAATACTATAATATCAGCTTCTGTTGTGTAAAAAGAATTCTGATTTCAGGAACAGGTTAAATTATTATGTAGTAACAAAAAACCTATTCCAACATTATAATTTTCCATTTTGCAATTTCAACATAATTTTAATTAAGGACCTATGAGAAAATGGAATGAATGTGTAAAAATGAAAATGAAAATGTGTAAACCACATCTGAATGAACAATTACGGTTTTCCATTTCATGTACAAAGAAAATTAAAACTTGTTGCGTAAGTTCATCTGGAAAAAGAAAACAGACATGGATAACAATTACTTGCCAATAGATAAAAGCATCCTGAATTGCTTCTGCACATACATGGAAAATTAAGTCCACTTACTAAATAGGGTCAGCTGTAGTGAAGAGGCACAAGTCTCCATATTTAAATGGAGGAAAAATATTACAATTACCTCCTAAAACACAAATCAGAATCCAATGGACATCAAGTATCTGCAAAAGCATTTATATATCTATGGAATTTATATGGTATAATATCTATATATATATAATGTCCATATTAAATCTATCCACATATATGGCATTGCTAAATATTGAAAAATGAATCAACTTATCCGCATAGACTTATTTTAAAAAAAAAACTGATCTGAATTTTTTTTTGTGCATCAAAGGGTTAGTGGTTACTAAGTGCTGAATTAAAACATGATATGACTGATTTGATAGCAACAGTAACAGAAACTTTAATAAAATGAAATAAAATAAGAGTTTTAAAGGATTTTGAAAATTAAGTGCCATACATATTGCTATGCACTGATGATTCATTTCATGCACAGTTTTTTCAGTACAAACCTTATCAAATCCTGGCTCATTAAAGTAGGGCTTCTCATTCATAAGTGACTGTATAGACAAGAGAACACTTGATAAACTCTGGGCTGGGCTCCATGAAGGTCCTGACCATGTGCTAGAAAGAAAAACAAGAATTACAAATTATATTAATTTTTCTAAATTATTACCTCTGGAAAAGCAGTTGGCTTTATTTAGATAGACCACTCTTCGCATAAACAAATGATGCTATATCAAATGAATGCTTTGACAAAAAATTTTATGGTTCTGAAGAAAGACTTTTGCCTGAATGCCCTTAAAATTGACAAATTTTTATTAAAATCTACAACAATTTATTTTTAACTTAATTAAAAATATTCCATAGGTGTTTTTCTCTTCCAATTTCATATAAGCTTCGTTGGACAGATGGACAGGTTTATATGAGAAAAGAAAATCCAGGATACTTTATGAAAAATAAACCTCAATGTAATGAAAGATTATGATGTGGACATTATATGGGTCTGCATGAACAAAATACTCAAAATATTGAAAAGTAAATTTAATGCAGCAAATATGAAAAGAATATGTTCTGCAATAGATCTATTAAGTAGCGGTCAAATAATTCAAGAACTGGCTTACTGCCTACAAAGTGATTATTAGTTATTAAACTAGGCAATGATGAATTCCTGAATAAATTTTAAAATTTAACTTTAACAAATAAATACTCAAACAGAAATCATTTTGGAAGCACATTTCAAACAAGTGTGAACTGGCTGATTTCCACTCAGGTCTCTTGTGAAAATATGGCTAGTGTGAAGGTGTATTAATGAAATTATCCATCATAATGATCCTAAAAAGTACTCAATTTTATCCTAGTAAAAATATTACTCAAATTTTATCATATTATCCTGTATTAATAAACTAATAATATTAGGTATTCAATTAAAAACTCTGGATTTTTTTCAAAACAGGACATAAAACACCAAGCATCTGGTAACTAACGCATAAATACAAACTTTACAATAGTCTTTGTTATTGACTCCTTTTTATATATTTTTTTTTACTTTTTACGTAATATATTTAATAACTATTGTAACTACTTTCAAAGGACATTTGAAAGCATCTGATTTAATAAAAGTTATTGATACTGGTATATAAAATCAATATATATAACATTAAATACTGGCACAATCATATAACTCTTTATAGAACTCACTGTTTGGGACAATATTTCCTCCCCTTTTTTTACTGCCTAATCATCCAAAAATCTAGAGGGGTAAATTATGCAAGCAATTTAATTTAAAGTGAATGCAGTTAAAATCCATAACAAATAAAAAATAGTCATGAATAAACTATAGGTAACTATCATATTATTTCTTTAAAAGAAATCTACATTCTAATAAGAATACAAAATAATATTAACATTACAACATTTAATAATATATCTTCATTTCTACTTCGCTGTAACTTGAATCTCGTCTAATCTTATCTGTATATACTACTACCGTGGCCTCAAATCATCCACAAATAATTGGAGAAGGTGAATGTGCAACTGACTCAGATGTAGTAGATGTAGTCTCCATTAGTAAAATGGAAACGGTAAAAGTATAGTTTAGGGTACCCCTTGGCAATTTTTGGAGGTACATGGATACCGATTTTGTGTAATTCTTTGACTCGTTATTTTGGCTTGCGGCGATTTTTGCCAAAACTTGTCGCTACACAAAGCCAAAATAACAAGACAAACAATTGCACAAACTCGGTATCCATGTACACATCAATTTATTTTCACTTAACCCCCCCGAATTGCACAAAAATGGCATCGTGCACTCCTTTGACTTTATCCATGTACACGTCGACCTATTTTCACTTAAAAAAAAAAAATCGCAAAATTGCATAAACTTGCATTGTGCTTTACTTTGTCCATGTACACTTTGATATGTTTTCACTTAAAAAGTCAAAGGAGCACCAAATTCTACAATATGGGCAAACAAAAAATACATAATCTCAATAACATGCATTTTAAACCAAACAATAAAATAACATAAAAAAGGAAAACCATGTTACACATTTAAGCACTACCAAAAGCAAATATTAACTTACCATGATTTTCGAGTTCGCTTCGTACACCCAGAGCCACGTAAAAATCAAAATATCAATTATACTCAAATGACTTTTTTCAAACCAGGTACTCTCTCTGATCGAACGCTTTACATAGTGACCATCTGAACCTTTGTCCTACAAACCCATTCAATCCATAAACGGTTTTAGTTCGACTATCCTTCCTACACAGGACACTTATGGCCACTTCGTAAGGATCTTAAGTTTTACTAACGTTTATTTTATTTTAAATCTTTACTATCACTTCTTATTTTCTACTTCCGGCCAGAATTATAAGCGTGAAGGAGTTTATGCAAAGTTGTCTGGCGAACGCCAAGTATTTAAGTGTGGCCTTTTTGCCAAGCAGAAGAGAGGAAGCCGTGAGTTCGAAGCAGGCCGCTTACCTTAGAAGTTACGCAGTTGCTACTTTGCCTTCCAGGCCAGAGGTTTTAATCCTCTTGATAAATTAAACGTATTGTAGTGTTCACAGTCTCTGTGCTACATACGCTTCCTGTTATTATAAGGCCAATCTTATTCTAAAGTTAAATTAGAGTTTAGTTTTATTTTGATATCTTTTAAGTTAGACCCCGAGTGGAGGGTCATTGTATTCCGAAGTACGGAAGTCATTGTATATAAAGAAAAAAAAAATAAAGGGTTTTGTATACCCTTCGTCTGTATCCTGTCTACTTACTACAATTAGTGAACATAGCTTTAGTAAGCTCTCTGTTCTAGTCAGGTCATTGTATGTTTCCGAAGAAGGTTAGAAGAAACATTGAACCTGATAGTGGCGCCCGACGAAGAATAACCATGGCCGAGTTTCAAGAAGAACCTGTGCTGCCTGCAGAAACAGCTCAGAATCCAGAAATGCCAGCTGCCGCCCTGGAAGGATTTGGGTATATTGTCCAGACCATGCGCGCTTCGATGAAACCAGAAGCAACGTTTAATGGAAACTCACAGGTAACCAGTTTTTTGGAAAAATTGGATGACCACTTCATGCTCTACCCCGTGCACGAGTTTCAAAAAGTTACCTTAGCTACCAGCGCTTTGAGGGGCCAAGCGCTTAACTGGTTCAAATGTATCGGCAGAAGTCTCTTGGGTCAAGCAGGAAGTCCCACCTATACTTACGAAAATTTCAAGACTGCCCTACTAAAAGCCTTCCCTGTTGTAAGGGATCGTGCGAAATTAGAAACAGAACTTTTCAGTATATATCAACAAAGAATGGAAAACCTCTCGAGCTTTATTTTAAGAAAAATTCACGTTTTCAAGCTCTTGTATGGAAACCGTCCGGATCCTGAAATAATTCAAGTGATTTTGCCGAGGTTACTACCCCAAGTGCAAGACTTTATTGAATTGAGAAATCCGACTACACTGGAAAAATTATTTGAGCTAGCAATCCAGTTTGAAAGTAGAAGAACGGCGGACGTCGAAAGAAGACGCCAATATCAACAGCGAAACCAATTTGGTACGCCAAGACTACAGCAAACTCAAGCACATGGCTACGGAGAAAAAAGCGAATCAGTGGGCAAGGAAACCCGAGCATTCAAAAACAGCCGGCGAACGTCGACAGTTCAATAGCAACCCAGGAAAAAAGTCTCAAGGCCAGTGGAGAAAGAAGGAAAGCACCGAAAGGAAAAATAATTTAAACTAAAACGGATTTCTGCTGCTGACGAGAGGGTGCGGAAATCCGAAGGCCACGAAAACCCCTCTTCCTACAAGTTAAATACAGTAATGGTGAAAAATTTAACTCTTCCGAAGATTGAAGTCTTGGTAAATAATATCCCGGCCACCGCACTCCTGGATACCGGCGCGCAGTGTTCCTGTGTGGCAGAAGTCTTTTTTAGAAAGTATTTTCGCAAATACCGCATATATAATGCGGATAATACAACAGTATTAGCGGCGCAAGGAGAACAATGTAAGTGCGTAGGTAAAGTACCTTTGTACATCCGTATCAAGGACGAACAAGTAAAGGTGATGTTTTTTATAGTAAAGAATTTGCAAGCACACTTAATACTAGGAATAGACTTTCTTTCAGACGCACAAGCTACACTGGATTTTAATGAAGCGTCCCTTAAGCTGACGATGAAACCAGTGCGTGTAGAAAAGGTTGAACCGCCAAGGTTAAATCTCGACCACCTGCCTAATGACGAGCAAGATAGAATCCGACAAGTGGTAAGTGAATTTGCTTCCTTATTTAGTGATATTCCAGGATTTACCCAGGTTACTAACCATAGTATTGACACCGGAGATGCATTGCCGGTTCGTCAAAAACCATACCGGTATGATAAGAATAAGGAAAAAATTATAGAATGGCATATTACCGATATGCTACGTAAAAAGATCGTAACGCCTATCTCAAGTAGTTATGCTAGTCCGGTGGTTTTATGTAAGAAAAATAATGATTATCCTTTGGAGCATCCAAAAAGGTGGAGATTCGCTATTGATTACCGTAAATTAAATTCCATAACGAAATATCCGGTATATCCGTTACCGATTATAGAAGAAATTTTAAGGAACATAAAATCAACCAAATTTATGACAACTTTAGACTTAACGAATGGTTATTTTCAAATAGGGGATCAGGCCTGAGGACGTGCCTAAGACTGCTTTTATAACCAAGTCTGGCACTTATGCATTTTTGCGAATGCCGTTTGGCCTTTCAGGCGCCCCAGCAACATTTCAGCGATGCATGGACATTGTGTTAAGACCTGTTCTCGGAAAGTCCACATTTATCTATTTAGACGATATCATTATTACTAGTGATAATCTAGACCAACATGTACAGGATTTAAGACAGGTGTTTTCTTTATTAAATGAGGCCGGTCTAAAAGTTAATGTCGAAAAATGCAAATTTGCAGCCCCTGAATTAAAATATTTAGGTTACAAAATATCGCAAAAAGGGATCGAGACAGATGAATCAAAAATAATCGCTGTACAAAAGTATCCGACTCCAAACACGGCAAAGAAGCTCTCTTCTTTTCTAGGACTTTGTTCATATTATAGGTCCTTTATAAAAGATTTTGCGGCTATCGCTGAGCCATTGTTAAAATTAAAAAGGAAAAAGGCAAGATTCTCGTGGACGGCCGAAG